GGGAGAACACAGCTCAGAGGGAGACTTCCGGTATTGAGGCCTAAAAAGAAATCTGCACAAACAACATTAATGGAAATAAAAAGGAATCTCAAAGTGAAAAGGAATTTAAAAATATAACAGTTCCACCCTTGTCCCCGACACTTTTCCTTTTCACCTGTCCCTTTCCCCTTCCAGACCTTGACCATTTGTATAAACAATTTTTGCCGTTGTCACAGCCTTGAATACAGAAAATTACCCACCTGCCACCCTCTCTCCAACAGCATTCTCATGAGCTCTTCTCACTTTCCTGCACAGGGTCCCCAGTCCTCACTTTCAAGAGATGCAGAACAGCCCCTTACACGTGGCTGAGAGACTTCCACCTTTTGTGGAGAATGTGGATTATTTCTAGGTTTTTGCCATGATAGCCATGGCAGCCATCTTTTGGAAAAATAAATTTATTTATTTATTTATTTTCATTTTTGGCTGCGCTGGGTCTTCGTTGCTGTGCGCAGGCTTTCTCTAGGTGCAGCGTGCAGGGGCTACTCTTCGTTGCGGCGTGTGGGCTTCTCATTGCAGTGGCTTCTCTTGTTGAGGAGCACGGGCTCTAGGCACGTGGGCTTCAGTAGTTGTGGCGCATGGGCTCAGTAGTTGTGGCTCGCGGGCTCTAGAGTGCAGGCTCAGTAGTTGTGGCTCACAGGCTTAGTTGCTCCATGGCATGTGGGATCTTCCCAGACCAGGGCTCGAACCCGTGTCCCCTGCATTGGCAGGCAGGGAAGTCCCGCAACCATCTTTTCTGATCACAAACTCAGGCCATGTGGTGTGAAGGGATTTTTGTGCCACTTGTGGGCAGACTGGGAACTGGAGATCTGGTCTACCCGCTGACGTTGCAACTTTTGTGACATTTCAAATGGCTTCTGAGTCCTGGGTTTTTTCAAATAAGAGTTATCACCCTAAGTTCAGGGTGCGTTATTGCTGCACTTGGATGGACAACACTGCAGGGGGCATCTTTGTGTGTATGGTTTTCTCTTCCTTTAGATTCCTTCCATAGGACACGTTTTTAGACATGGGATTACTGAGTCAAAAATAAATGAATGTTTTTGGGGTGAGGTATATGGGGGGAAAACACTTGATTCATAGTCAGAAGATTTCAACTGTAACACTACCCCTCACTAGCTTGAGATCGGACTCATTTCCCTCATCTGTAGAATGGTGGTAATAAACTGAAAAGCACAAGATTGTTGAGAATATTACATGGGAGAAGGCAGAAGGTGCAGAGTCACTTGGTGTGGTCCCTGAGTCTTGACGGGGTCTCCAGTAATACTAGTGGAAAGTGAATATTGCCAACTTGCTTTTGTAACTTACATTGTCCCTGGGAGCAGATGAGCATGTCAGTTTTCCCACACCCACGCCTGCCTTGGATACTATTATTTTCTTCTTTCAGGGATGCTCTCCCTTGAGGTATTTTTTGCACACTGACTTTATGTCCGGTGCAGCATCAGACCCTGGGGGTACAGCTGCGAACCAGACCCAGGACCCTCCTGGTCTGGAGCTCCCCCCACTCTAGAGGCAGTCACCACATGTGGGATCAGTGCTGGGCTAGGGAGAAGCTCTGGGAGTTAGATACCAGAGCAGAGAAGAGGCACCTGAACCCACCCTGGGGCATCAGGGAAGGCTTCCTGGAGGAGGTGGCTGCTTGGAGCTGAGATTAGCCAGGCAGTAGGAAATGGCAGTGTAGAGGCGGGAAGGTGAGGAAAAGCATGATGTGTCTTGTGACCTGTCTGAGGTTCATGTGTGCTGCAGTAAGTATGTGAGTGAGTGTGAGAGACAGACAGACGGATGGAGGGGGAGGTGTCAATCATGAGACTGAAGCTGGAGAGATGAAGAGGATCCAGATCCTGCCAGGACCCAGGGAAGGAGTTTGATCTTCATTCAGAGGGCAGTGGGGAGGTGTGGGGAGTGACATGGTGGCCCCTGCGTATCAGAGAATCACTCTGGCTGCTGCTAGAACAGATTGGAGGAGACACCAGCAGAGAAAGTTACTTACCTAATAACAACATTCTATGCCTCTTGCTTATTTATTTCGTTTATTGTCTTTTCCTATGTTCATGATTGTCAGCTCCATGGGAACAGGGCTTTCTGTATGTTTTGTTCACTGCTGTGTCCCCAGAGCCTGGTACATGGTAGGTGTTCAGTAACTGTGTATTGGAATGAATGAATGAATGAATGAGCTGGGGCCACAGCCATGGGGATGGAGAGGAGAGGATGCATACACTCCGTCGATATTAGACATTGGTCCCCCTCCATCTGGGGCCTGTGGATGGACAACGCTCATGCATTTACCACAGCCCTGCTTTCCTGGGGAGACCTGGACATGCACTTGGCCCTTCACACGGGGCGCCACACAGGATGGATTTGCGGATTTGGGAGCCCAGGTCACATTCCGGAAGACGCTGGAAGGTGTCAGGACTGGCTCACGGCCCTCACCAGATTGTGGCATTCCCAGGAAGCGGCACCCAGAGATGGCTGAGTGAATGACTGTGAGCTCCCAGATCGGATTTAGGGGTGTCATTATGAAAGATTGGCAACAGCTGTTCAAATGAATCAACGCCTCTGAATCTGAGAGAGAAGCTACCAAATGGTTGGGTTCCGAATGGAAGGGCTTCTCCTGCCTTGTCCCTGTGAGGTTCTCTCGGATTCCCCGGGAGCCTGTGTGCTCCACGGCTGCACCCCCAGCACCCGGCACAGAGCCTGGCTTGTAGAAGGAAGGTCAGAGGGATCGGAGGAATGAATACTCGTGAACGACGCCTGTCTAATTTCAGTGACGATCGGTTTCGGTGACTCAACCCTCAGGAACATGGTTTTCTCTGCATGAAATCGCAGGAAATGGGAATTTCAAACCTTGCAGATTAATTCAGGGAGATCGAGCCTGTGGACCTGGCAGGTTCAGCAACCGCAGAGGTACACCCACCACTACCCCCACTGCTGCCCCGCATCCTCCGTGTCCTGGTCCACTGCAGCCTCCTGACCTCCCAGATCAGCCTGGCTCCCCATCTGTCCCCCCATGCCGACCTTCACGGTTATTTGTAGATAAAACCAGACACAGCTCATACCTGGTGTCCCTGCTTTCTCCAGGGAGCTCTTATTTACCTGGCTCTGGCCATCGTGCTAATATATTTAAAAAGAGCGAGCGAGGCCACCCCAGGAATAAACAGCATCTGTCCTCTGTGTGAGTGGGCTTCTGAAATGTTTTGGAAGAGACTAACATCTCTTAAATTAAGCATAACATATGTGATGCATTTAAAGCAAGATTTTAAAGTGAACATTTCAGTTGGTTTCCTTGTATTTTACAACAGGTTAAAGGAAAACCTGAGAATCATGGGTTTCTAGGTTTGGGAAAGAGTTCAAAATATTATTTAGCCATCCACTATGGTGGTTTAAAAACTCTTTTTTATCCCCCTTTGTTCATTGATTGATTGATTCATTCATTGATTTGTTCATGCAACCGTATTTATAGACCAGGCATCTGCCTGGCATTTCAAATGGAAACTTGAGAGGGAGCCCAAGATAGAAAGGAGATTACAGATAACAGAGACACCGTTCTGGTTAAGAGGGGTGCGGACCAAGAGCCTTTCTCTTGTTTCCCCTTTTTCCTTCCCTGCAATCTGGCTACTGAGATGGGTTCAGAGATCCCGAAGTGGGGGCAACATTTGTGAGCCATCAACCCTGATTCAGCAACAGCGCTCTTGGTGGTTCTTCCCAGGAAAAGCTGTATAGAGAAGCATTCGTTCATTCCACCTTTGGGCAGATGAGCCGGTGTGACAGTCTGGGGTTAATGTGGTCACAGCAGGTGTCTGACGGCGGCCTGTCCCAGGCAGTGCATCAGGTGAAACTGGTGGGGCCTCTAGGCGGGGTCAGCAGGTTGAGCTCCCAGCTGGGCTCTTCGTAGCTCCTTGGTTCTGTCATTCAGTAGCAATTGACCTGTGGCCACACCAGAACTTGCCAGAGCCAGAGGAACTAGTTCATCTTGTGACCAAGACTGCTTAGTGTCATGAAACTCAGGACTCTAGCCCTTATTTAGAATCTTAGAAGGGTGGGGAGCAGGGCCAGGAGAATAGTTCTTCATTCATTTATTTATTCACTCAATAATTATGTGCTCAGTGCTCTTATCTGCCAGGCCACTGTGCTAGCTCTTGGGGATTCAGGGTGACTCCTGGGGGCTTCCCATTGATGTGAAATGAAGGATCATGAACTATTAAATGTAGCTGTGTAGCTATGAGGAGTCTGGCTGAGTGTCTGTGGGTCTCTCTGGACACGTAAGAGGGAGATTATACTAGGTTGGAGGGGGGCAGCTGTGTCTGGACTGCAATCTTAGGGGAGGGCCTGTGTCTGTGTGTAGTGACAGGGATATCTCAGAGAACAGGCACAGCACATGCAAAGGCCCTGAGGAGGCATGTGAGGACCTCCAAGAGATGCAATGTACAAATACTGCTGATCAGGAGAACCAGGGGAAATAGCTCCCAAATTAGCCAGCTCTTTGAGTCTTCCGGAGTTCCCTCCTCTAAACCGAGGGAGTCTTCCGGGACCACCACTCCCAATTTTAGACAGTTAATCCTCCTTTTCCTGTGCTCCCATGTCCCCCTTTATAAACCATGATGTTTATTGCCCAGTGTTGTAATCGCTTGTGTGTGTGTGTATGTGTGTGTGTGTTTCTCACACAAGACTCTGAGGTCCCTGGATGCAGGGGATATTTCTTATTCATCCTTGTGAACGTGGTAGGTGCTCAGTAAACATGTATCAGAGGAACGGGGGAGATTTTTATGGAGCACCTACGGTTTGTACTCGGCACCCTTGATGCCCACGTGTATAGATAAGGCGACAATACTGAAAAGCTGCTAGGAGCGTGAGTTTTACAAGCTGGCGGAGACACCAGCAGATGCAGTTGGAGCTCGAAAGCCTTTGCGCCGTCTGTGCACATATTGCCGGAACCCCGGAACTGAGGCTCTCGCCCTGTGTCTCCCCAGACCTGCTTGAAACTCAGCCTGCTGGGACGAGCCTCCCCTCCCCTGCCGGCTCCTGCCATGGGAGTGTGCGGACAGCCCCGTTGGAGATGAGACACGATACCGCTGGCTTTCTCTGGCAGTCACACGTCCCCAGCCAGGACCTGCCAGCTCGGGTAAGTGGGGCTGGAGTGTCCGGGGGTGGGCAGGGCTCCTGTGGGTTCTGCTAGGGAGTTTTCTCTCTGTCCTTTGAATCCTGTTCTTGTCCTGTGTCTCTGTCCGGGCTATGTCTGTGTCCCAGAGGTCACGGGAGCTGGCTTTAACGATGAGCAGTCCTGATTTGGGGCAGGACCCTGTGCACCTTAGAACTCCACCCCGAGTCTTTGCAGACGGGTTCCTCCCAAGTCTCCGATTTTCCCATTCTCCATTTCTGTGCCTCTCTTCTGCCTCTAACCCCGTCTAGACAGTGTTCTCCGCCTTGGGGAGAAGGAACCTTCTTAGCACCATCGAGCGTGTAAGGAAGAGGAAATATCAAAATCTGTCTGCCTTTCTTTCCTGCAGGCTGCTGAGTGAGTCAGAGCCGGGGGCAGCATTGTAGGGCCCCAGGAAGGGAAGTGGAGGCTTGCGTTGGACTAAAATGCCTTCTACTTTCAGCCCATCTAGACGGGGGGCAGGCTGGGGACAGTTTTGTAGGGAAAGAGAGCACTGGAGTGAAGGTGGGGTTAGGGTGGGGGACGAATCAAGAACAGCAGCTTGTCTGGCACTTTTTAAGACCAGAAAGGAAGAGGACATAATTGTTAAAAAGGCAGAGTTGAATGGGTCCAGGACTTGAGATCACGTTTCAGCTGTGTGATGGTTGGCAAGTCGGGCCACCTCTCTGAGCCCTTTCCCTTCATCTTTATAAGGGAGATAAGGATAATCCCTGCTTCTCGGGGTCGTTGGAGGATGGATGAGAGAGGAGGGCTGCTGCCTTGAGAGAGCAGAGCTCATGACTGGATGAACAAGGGGCTTGTGCCTGAGCTGCTGCAAAACTGGGGCTGGCAATCACATACCCGCCTCTTAGGGTTCTAAAGAGGATGTGATTTGTAAAACAGAGAAAGCACTGGGCTTACCTGAGGCCTCACTCTTGGTAAACTCTCGTCGTTAGCTGATACTCTTCTTACTGAGACTGTGAAGGCAGCCAGCGTAAAACAGGCGTTCAACAGAAAAGAGCCCAGAGGCAAACAATCACAGCAGCAGGTGGAGTGGGAAATGAGGGTGGCTTTCTTTTAAGGCTTCTGGAAGGACTGGGGAGGGGAGAGATAAGGGACTGTCTGGACGGTTAGAGTGCCAAGGCCAGTGACCAACTTTGTGACCGTTGGCTAGCTGTGTGAGGTGGGGCTTGTCACCTACCCTCTCTGTGCTTGGCTGTGACGAGGGTCAGGACCAGCCTGATGTGGCTGGGCTCTGAAACGGGAAAGTACTGCGGGGTGAAGGACTCTCATCAGGGTTTATGCTGGGAGCGTGTGGTGTGAATTTGGAGTCTGACCTGGGTTCGAATCCCAGCTTTGCCTCTTTACTCTCTGAGTGACCTCAGGTCGGTTACTTGGCCTCTCTGAGTTGGTTTCCATACCTGTACAGCAGAGATCATCACTTTTCACCCTGAAAGCTGGCCTTGAGATTAGCTGAGTCAGGAAAGTCCAAGAGAGTGTTGGCACCTTTTCTGTGTCCTTTGAGCCGGAATGAACTTCAGAGTCGGGCCATTTAGTCCACTGCCCTTTGCCCACAGCTGAGAGGTGAAGGCACTGGCCCAGGCTGGCCCCGTGGTCAATGGAGAGCTGTCGTCCAGACCCAGGACTCTGGTCTTTTGATCCCCATCCCCCAAATCCCTCTGCTTCAACCCAGACACTGACTGAATCTTAAATTTACTATTTTTTTTAGTGGTTGCCTCTCTGTTTCTGATGTTCGTCTTCCCCATGGATCCACAGCCGTAACCATGGTGACGCGGGTGGAGGTCGGCTCCATAAGTTCTCTGACAGGAGTGCCAGGCCTGGGCGAGCTCTCCAAGGAGGAAGCTCTGACTCGGACCTACTTCCGCCAGGCTGGCAGCGCCTCCGGGGCCCCCTCAGCGCTGCTCTTGGAAGGGAAAAGCCCCCTCAGGAGCCCAGTCCGCTTGCTCCCTCTGCCGAGACTCACCCCCAAGCCCTTCTCCAAGGAGAAGGCCGGGGACATGATCTCCTCGTGGCCCAGCCTGAGCAGGCCGTCTCCTACCGGGGGGCTCCCCCGGGGCGTGGCGGCAGAGGGGCTGGACGAGAAGATGCCTGGCTTGGTGGGGCAGGAGGCGGGGAGCGGGGACGGCCCGAGCAGCTCGTCTCTGTTCTCCAAGGCCGCGGTGTTGCGGCCTAGCCCCAGCACCATGATCCTCTTTGAAACCACCAAAGCCGGGCCTACCCTGGGGAAGGGGGTCGGCCGGGGGGCTCCGGAGGCCGACGCAGGCGTGTCTCAGGGGCCCCCTTCTGCCTCCCGGCCTGAGGTGGCCACCAAGCCTGCCTTGCCGGCCCGAAACCCTGCGGGGACTCTTCCCCGACCGGCCTCCGTGTCTCAGGTCACCAGGCCGGCGGCCACCCAAGAGGAGACAGGCCTAAAGGAGCCTCTGTCAAAGGCCAGCAGCGTGGAGGACGCGGGTAGCCCCGCTCTGGAGCCCAGGCCTCGACTGAAGAGAAGGCCCGTGTCGGCCATTTTCATCGAGTCCATTCAGCCTCAGAAGCCAGCAGGCCCTGGCGGGGCAGCCATGGTGGGGAAGGCGCCCCCCACCCCTCCTGAGAAGACGTGGGTGAGGAGGCCTCGGCCTCTGTCCGTGGACCTCACGGCCAGGTTCGAGAGTAGAGAGGCCTTGGCAAGGAAGGTGGAGGCCATAGCAGGATCCACGGCCCAGTGGCGGGGTCCCGAGAGGCCTGACCTGGACCCCAAAGTAGATGGGGAGCGTCTGGTCAAAGCAGAGGCTCCCCTTCACGACCCAGATTCTGACTTCCTGCAGGTGGCCAGGAAGATCCAGGAACGGAAGGAGAAGCTGCTCTGCAAGCAGGCAGAGATGGGCCACCTCAGAACCATGGGGGGCTCGGCCAGGGTCACCCCCATCAGTGACCAGAATCTTGGGGAAGAGAAAGCCAAGCTGGATGGCGAGCCGGAGAAGGCACCCAGGGGCCCCCAGTCCCCTTCGCCCAGGCCTGGAAAAGGCCAAGAAATCGCTGAGGTCAAGAGCAGAGCGGCTGATGGGGAAACCCAGGCAGGGGGAGAGCGGACCCCGAGGGGCAGCGTGAAGAAGCACGTCAGCCTCTTTGGTGAGGAGAGCGCCTCAGCCTTGTCATTGGGGTCTTCGCCCCCATCAGCCCCCGCTGAGTCCCCACCGGCTGCACCGGAGCTGGGGAAAGCCGGTGTGAGCGTCCAGGAGCGGATCAAAGGCTGGGCCACCGAGAGCTCGGAAGCAAAGCCAGAGATCAGGAAGAAGGTGATACAGGCACGGCCGCTGTCAGCGGATTTGACCAAACTGTAAGTGGGAGCATCCCACTGGCTTCCCCCAGCCTCCAAGGTCCTCAACCCCTTACCAGAGACCCCTCGGGAAAGGAAATAGCAGGGCTCCAGGCTCCGTGCTGCGCGCCTTACGCCCCCTCTCAGTTGACCCACAGCCCGCAGAGGAAATGGCATTAGCTCCCATTTCTCAGATGAGGAAGCTGAGGTGTGGAGAGACAGGGGAGCTGCCCTCGTACGTTTCCTCGTACGTTTCCCTCTGTGCACTTTTCAGGGGGAAATATTGTGCCCATTTCACAGATATGGACAGGAAAGGTGAAATACCATGAGGAAGTCGGGAGCCTGGTGCAATTCCAGCTCAGCCTGTCTCCATAGCTAAGCTTTCCTTTCCTGAAGTCCGAGGACACCTAATATATGGCCTAAACCTCTGTGGATGGCCCCCAAAACAATCAGACGGGTCATGATAACTTGGGTGGGTAGCTTCACCCCTTGAGCCTCGGTCTCTTTATCTCCAAAACGGAAATGATGCTAAGACCTGCCTTTAAGGATTAAGGCAAAGACTCAGAGAGATAATGCTGAGAGTCACTCAACCCAAGGGAGCCCTCAACACGCTGTAGCTCCAAATGATACTATTAATCCTAATGGTTATTGATGATTTTCTAAGCTTGGCCTGGCCTCTGACATCTCTTGCTCCTTCGTTTTTCCACAAGTGGCTTCTCGGCCAGGACAGAGGGATGCCGCCGGGGGTTTCTGCCAGCTTGTTAATGACATGCCTGCCGCTGACATACTTTGTCAGGGATGGAGCTTCCAAGGGGAGCTCTGGGCCGACTGCCCTTCAGGCCCTGGGAACCCGGGCAGCCAGCTTGGCCAGAGTTGGACCAGTGGCTCTCAGCAGTTAGAATGACCTGGAAAAAAAAATACCGATGCCTGGCCCCCACCCCACCCCCTAGAGAATCTGATTCAGCTGGTCTGGGGAGGGGCCCTTGTCGTGGTGGTTTTTAAAAGTTTCCCAAGTGATTTTCATGTGCAGCCAGGCTCGTGAACCCCTGAATTCAGAAAACAGAGAAATGGGAGAATTCCCTGGCTGTCCAATGGTTAGGACTTGGCGCTTTCACTGCCATGGGCCGGGTTCAATCCCTGGTCTGGGAACCGAGATCCCTCAAGCTGCACAGCGTGGCAAAATAATAATAATAATAAAAATTTTAAAAACCCAGAAAACAGAGAAAGGGGCACCCATGTCGGGGACCTCACACACCTTCCCTCTCTGCATCCCCCAGTGTCTCAGGTTATTCCCATCTGACAGGAGGGGAAACCAGGGCTCTGGGCTTAGAAACAACTCATGCACAGCCTCACGCCTCCCAGGAGGCAGACCTTGGACTGATGCGTGTGGGTCAAGTTTAAGCAGTTTGATTTCTTTCACCTCCCTCTTATCTGCAGCCCCCAGCCCTGAGCTAATCTTTCAGCGTCCGCTCCAGAGAACTCTTCAGAGATGGAAAAAGTGTAGCTCCAGAACTCCCCTTTCTCCCTCTTCCCCTTACAGTGGGGAAACAGGCCCAGAGAGGGATAATGACTGGGCCCAGGTCACTCGAGGCAGGCCCGTGCCCTGACACATTCCCCGACTGCCCACTGCCCCTGTGGTCGGTCTGCGGTGGGGCTGCTATTGTGAGGTTACAACCATTAATTATCCCTCCTGGGGCATCTTCACTCTTCTCTAAACGACTTCACGTAGCTATTAGGGCCTTGGGTAGCCTCTTATCCGCCCTACAAAAGACTGGGGAGGTGTTAATTATCCCCGTTTTATGAGTGAGGTCACAAGCCTGACCCAAGCTCCCTCAGTGGGGAGGCAGGAGAGCTGGGACTAGCACCCAGGTCTCTTCACCCAAGCCTGGGGCTCCTGCTACCCCGATGATGCTGTGTTTAAGGTAGGCTGTCCCCACTGGGCTGGAGGGGTTTGGCAACTGCAAAGGACATGTCCCTTCTCGGAGGAAATTGGGCAGTGTTGCTTTGATGATCTCAGTGCTGGTTTCACCCCTGGGTTCCTGAGCTAGTTACGGGGTGCGGGCTGGAGGGAGCCACAGCTGCCGGTCCCTGTACAAGTAACTTGGATCTCTGTGCCAGGTTTTCAAGTGCAGCTTCAAACAACGAAGTCACATGTGAGAAGTGTTCTGAGCTGAGCAGTGAGCCTCCTAAAGAACCAAGAGAAAAGGTAAGGAGCCACTTGGCGCGTCCTTTTTTCCCAGCAGGTAGTTATACTTATTGGAAAAAGGGCTTTTATGATCTCCAGGACCCAGGAAAGAATCAGAAACCTCTCATGAACTGTTAAGACATTTTTTTCCTTTAATGTTGGGACTTTTAAAGTCCCTTCCAGTATGATGGGCTGTGTGATTCCCCGTTACAAATATAATCGTCAGGCATTTCTTTTTGTCTGTGCAAATGGGAGGAGGGACATGGCTTTCCTGTGTAAGAATGTCTGCTTTATTAAGAAATTAGTAAAGATGTAAAAATGTTAATAGAACCCCCCCTCAATTTTCCCCCATTATGGTCCCTGCTTCTTTCCCCACCCTGATGTGTCACCTAGACGAAGAAGAAGGAGGAGAGTTACCATCAATTAAATTGCTTAAAACATATTTTCATTTAGTCTGTTTTCTTAAATATTTATTTATTTTGCCTGTGCTGGATCTTAGCTGTGGCACACGGGATCTTCGTTGCAGCATGCGTGCGGGATCTAGTTCCCTGACCAGGGATCGAACCTGGGTCCCCTGCATTGGGAGCATGGAGTCTTACCCAGTGGACCACCAGGGAAGTCCCCATTTAGTCTGTTTAATTTAAAAAAGCTCATAAAATAACTGCTAGGTATAACGGGTTTGTGGTTGATGCTTTCTGCAGTTTCAACTTTTCTTAAACAGCTTCACTGAGGTATAATTGACATACAGTAAACTGGACATGTTTAAAGCATATAAGCAGGTGAGCTTTGGCATCTTTGTACACCTGTTGAAGCTTTCATCACAATAAAGACAGTGGGCATTTCCAGCACATGCAAGTTTCTTCTCTGTGACCCCCCAGAGCAACCACTCATCTGCTTTCAGTTACTATAGATTCATTTGCATCTTCTAGATTGTTATATAAATGCAACCAGTGCTCTTTTTTCGGTCCGGCTTCTTTCACTCAGAATCATTATTTTGAGCTTCATCATGTCGTCATGTGTATCAATAGCCCATCCTTTTTTATTGCCGAGTAGTACTCCGTTGTATGGGTAGCCCACAGTTGGCTTATCCATTCACCCCTTGATGGGCATTTGGGTTGTTTCCAGTTTGGGGCCATTGCAAATAAAGCTTCTGTGAACATCTGTGGGAAAGGCTCTGTAGGGACATCTATTTTGTTTTCTCTTGGATAAATACCTAGGCACGGAATGGCTGGATCACATAGTTTAACTTTTTAAGAAAATTATACAGAGTTTTAAACACCAGAGCTTGGTTCCAAGCCCATTTGAATCCCTCCCATCATAAACCCCTAACAAAGGTGAGCTGGCTCTGAATGACAGTGCCTACCACTCCTGGGGTGGGCGGTTTGCCCTGTTTTTATCCTTGGATCTTCTGAGTCATTTCTTAAAAAATGGTAGAGAGGGACTTCCCTGGCAGTCCAGCGGTTGAGACTCCGCACTTCCATTGCGGGGGATGCAGGTTCGATCCCTGGTCAGGGAACTAAGATCCCTTAGTTTTCCCAAAATGGAAACCCCTTACCCAGTCACTCCTCATCCCCCACCTCCAGCCCCCGGCAACCATGAATCTACCTTCTGTCTCTATAGACTTGCCTATTCTGGGTATTCCATATAAGTGGAATCATGTATGTGGCCTTTTGTGTCTGACTTCTTTCACTTTGCATTATGTTTTCAAGGTTCATCCATGTTATGTTATAGCATGTATCAGTACTGCATTCTTTTTTATGGATGAATAATATTCCATTGCATGGATATACCGCTTTCTGTTTATCCATTCATCCATTGACGGACATTTGAGTTTCCAGCTTTTGGCGATTGTGAATAATGCTGCTGCGGACATTGGTGTACAAGTTTTTGTCTGAACACCTGTTTTCAGTTCTTTTGGGTATATACTCAGGAATGGAATTGGTGGGTCGTATGGTTAAATCTTTGTGTAACTTCTTGAAGTAGACCTTTTGCTAAGAGAAAAGAAAAATTTTAAATATGACTAAGCAATAATACATGAATATTATAACAACCCAACAGAACTAAAATGTGTAGGATTAAAAGATGACGTTCTCTTCCTCATTTCTTCTTCCTACCCTCACTCCTTCACCCACAGTTTTTTTTTTTTTAATTTATTTATTTTATTTATTCATTTCTGGCTGCATTGGCTATTTGTTGCTGCACACAGGCTTTCTCTAGTTGTGGCGAGTGGGGGCTACTCTTCGTTGTGGTGCACGGGCCTCTCATTGTGGTGGCTTCTCTTGTTGCAGGGCACGGGCTCCAGGCATGCGGGCGTCAGTAGTTGTGGCACGTGGGTTCAGTAGTTGTGGCTTGTGGGCTCAGTAGTTGTGGCTCACGGGCTCTAGAGCGCAGGCTCAGTAGTTGTGGCACACGGGCTTAGTTGCTCCACGGCATGTGGGATCTTCTCTGACCAGGGCTTGAACCCGTGCCCCTGCATTGGCAGGCGGATTCCTCACCACTGCACCACCAGGGAAGCCCTTCACTCCCAGTTTGATTGTTATCTTTTCTCCACTGTTTATGTACACACGTACATATTTATACACATGTACACATGTAGTTTTTTAAAATGGTATTTTATTATAAATATATACTTCCTCATCCTGCTTTTCTTCCACCAGCACGACATTTTGTGTGTTCTTAGACGTTAGGACATTGGGACCTGCCCCCACTTCTGTGGATCCAAGTGCCTGTGTGGTATTCAATTGTTTGAATATTTCAGAATTTATTTAGCCAGTGCCCTTCAGATGGGCATTTAGGTTGTTTGTGTGTTCTTTCGTTTCACAAACAGTGCTGTATGAACTTTCTTGTTCACATAGACTAGTGCACGTGAGCAAAGCAAGAATCCTGGGAGGAAATCGGCCAGATAAAAGGAAATGAGTGTCCTAAAATCATGAGAGATATACTGAGTTGCCCAAGAATCATGCCCATTTATCTTCTCACCAACAGTGTCTGAGAGTGGCCGTGTCTGAGAGTGGCCATTTCACCACATCCTCACCCACACTGGCTATGTTCAGTCTGTAAGATTTAATGGTGTCTCACTGCTGTGATTTTAAAAGCAGCTATTTCAGGGCTTCCCTGGTGGTGCAGTGGTTAAGAATCCACCTGACAATGCAGGGAACATGGGTTCGAGCCCTGGTCAGGGAAGATCCCACATGCCGCGGAGCAACTAAGCCCATGCGCCACGACCACTGAGCCTGCGCTCTAGAGCCCGCGAGTTACAACTACTGAACCTATGTGCCACAACTGCTGAAGCCCACGCGCCTAGAGCCCGTGCTCCGCAACAAGAGAAGCCACCAAAATGAGAAGCCCTCGCACCGCAACGAAGAGTAGCCCCCGCTCGCCGCAACTAGAGAAAGCCTGCGTGCAGCAAGGAAGACCCAAAGCAACCAAAAATAAATACATCAATCAATCAATCAATCAATAAATTAAAGCAGCTATTTCAATCACCTCATCTCTTTCTTTCCATTTCAAACTGCCCCTCGAGGTTTTTTTTTTGGCTGCACTGCACGGCTTGTGGGATCTTAGTTCTCTGACGAGGGATCGAACCCCGGGCCCTGGCAATGGAAGGCCGGAGTCCTAACCACTGAACCACCAGGGAATTCCCTCCATTTCAAACCCTTTTACTTAAATTGGATTTTTTTTTTTTTCCACAGCAAAAGGAAGGGCATGGTGTGGACGGAGCATCTGTCCCAAGAAGCCCCTGGAAGCCTGCGACGCCCCGGGAGAAATCCAGGCAGACAGAGTGGAAAGACAGTTCTGACCAAGTCCCTGGCAGCGGTTGGAGCGAAAACGTGGTGGGGCCTCTGAGCCCTTCCGCCAGCACCCCGGATGATGACAGAAGCTTCCAGACCGTGTGGGCCACAGTGTTCGAACATCACGTGGAGAAGCACACCGTGGCTGACCTGTCAGGACACTGTCCCGCAGCCATGACCCCCAGGGACACGGCCGACATCTTGGAGTTCAGATCCAGGTTCCTTGGGTCGAGAAGCTCTTTCCCGCAAACCACATACCCGAAGAAAGAGTGGTTGGAAAATCCCGACCCAAAGAAATCTGGGCGGACCGCCTTCTCCAACGGTGAGCCCAAACAGCATCATATGTCTTCCCTCCTGGGAAGATACCCTGTGGGCGACAAGTGCAGTAATAACCCCTGCCTCAAGCTCTTGGAAAGCCCTCCTGCATCCGAGAGGGTCGAGCCCAGGTATGACATCATGCACGCGGTCGGTGAGCGTGCGCACAGCGAGGCCATCCCCATGGCGCCCGAGGAGAAGGCTGTGACGCTCCGGAGCAGCCAGTCTCGGCTCTCACTGTCCCAGGAGGTCACCCCTGCCGTGACCCCTGCTGACCCCGAGCGCAGGCTGGAAGGCCAGGTGGGGTCCATCCAAAGGGCCAGTTTGATCTGGGAAGCTCGAGGGACGCGTGAGGTCAGTGGGCCAAAGCCTGAGTTCCACCGAGAGCTAAAGGACACGTCTGGAGGCAATTGTCTGTCACCCAGATGGACAGGTGGGGTGGCCATCAGCTGGCAGAAAGCCGCTGTGGGGGTCAGTGAAGAGAGAGGCTCGGAACCAAGCCCCGAGGCCACCTCTGCGAGGACCATCCAGGCTGCCATCCAGGAGGCCCAGCACCAGGGGATCGAAGGGGCTGGAATAAAGCCAGGGGAAAGGGGTGCCCCCCAGGGGGGCCCTCTGGAGCCTCCTTCCAGGGCTAAGGGCGAGGCCTCTGACTTCCGAGCCCGGCCACAGGCAGACGTGCTACTGCAGAAGGGGCCCCTCGCCGTGGCTGGTGGCCAGAGTGGAGCGAGGCCGGCCCAGGTGCCGGAGCCCGAAGCCAGGATGCGGAAGGTGAGCCCCAGCGACCAGAGGATGGAGAGGTGGAGGCGGCGGACATTACCCCACGACGCGAAGTTCGATGAATTCAGCTTACTGGCCCCAGAGCACTCTTCCAAGGCAGAGCAGAGACGGACGGGTTATTTGACCCGCACCGCAGGTGCCTTAGGAAAACTCCAACTAGCCCACGGTTGGGAGGAGCCCCAGCAGGGGAACCCGGGCGTGTCACAGGTTCTTTCAGCAGCGAAGCAAGGGCCATCTGTGGAACCCAAGGCGACCTTTTTTGCAGTGACGTATCAGATTCCCGACACTCAAAAAGCAAAGAGCATTGTTAAGCCTGGGTCCGAAAACTTGATGGAACATTCTAGAAAAATAGCCCCACCTCTATCGCCTCATCTTTTAACATCTACCTTGGTTTCTCTGAACCATGAAGAGCTGCTGGAGACCATGGGCAGTAAAAACCAGGCTCCAGGCAGAGAGCATGACCGCGCAAGCTTTCCAAAGACCCCGAGGCCAGCGTCTCTTGGGGACAGGATTCTGGGTCCTCCCAGCGAGAGAATCTCCGATGGCGATGCTTTATGGGTTCGTCGGGGACCAGAAGACAGCGTTGGTTTTCACAGCGACTGGAAGGACCGTGGGAACAAGACATCCCCCCGTGGTGCTCCCAAAACACCTCCGGCTCTCAAAAGTCACCCGAAAGCCACCCATCTCCTGCTCAGAAGGAAGACGGAGGTGGTCAGCGAGACATTCCCAGGTAAAATCAAGGACGGTTACAGGTCCAGTGTCCTCGACATTGACGCCCTGATGGCCGAGTACCAGAGACAGCCAGCCGCAGGCCCCAGGGAGGCTCAGGAGCTGATGGGGGGGCCGCCCACAGAGCCCAGAGGCTCGAATCCTGAGAGGCCTGGCCAGCAAGGCGAGGTGGATCGGAGACGGAGGAGCCTGAAGGAGGGCCCTGAAATTGAGGGCCCCCGGAAGCAAGCCAGTTTTGCCGAAACAAACCCCAGTCCTACCCCCGGCTCGGGCAAGCAACTGGCAGAGACCCCGGAGGCAGCCACGAGCACCAAGGTCAGCCCTCCTCTGTGGGCCCTGCCGCACTCAGCTCCTCCTGAGAAATATCCAGGGGCCTCTTCTGGCCCTGCAGGTCCCAGGAAAAAAGGCTCGGGGGTCACCAAGGATGAGAAAAAGGCCTTTATCAGTAAACATCACAGTGCAAAGTGCCCGCATTCCCTGGCTGAGTCAAAGCCCACCACCTCCTGGGAGGATCTGGGCAGCGGGGCCACCATGCCACCCAGGTCCTCCCCCACTGACCAGAAGAAAGGGCTCCCAAGGAAATCCCTCGGGAGGGGAGAGGAGGGCAGTGTGACCCAGTGGGGCAACCACCCATGGGACTGTGGAAGGTCACTGCTGGATGTCAAGAGGGCCCACTCGGAGAAAGGCCCCCCTCTCAAAATCCGAGAGGGCCTGTCCATCATGCAGGAAGCCAGAGAGAGGAGGCAAGAGCAGCCCAAAGGGAGGCCCAGTCTCCCCAGGGAGATTTCAGAGGCCAAAGACATCAAGACGGGGCTCTGTCAGCAGGAGTCGGGGAATCGAGACAGTCAAAAGGTGAGTACAAACCATGTTGCAGTTTTGTCAAACGTTGTTAAACATGCAGGCCAGGGGTCTCAAACTCAGAATCCACGTGGGTAGGCCAGGTGAGTATGGAAATGAGTGGAGTCAGGCTGGGTGTGAGACGCTAGGGAGTGGTGGGGCTTGTGGCAAATGGAGAGCCCACGCCTTATCGGAAGGGGGCAACCGCTGCGCAGCCCCAGCTGGTTCTTGACAAGTGAGGAAGGTGGTGTTGAGATGGCAGATCTGATTTATCAAGAGAACCGGAAAGATCCAGATTTGTGTCTGTAATCCCCTCCCGCCATTATGAAATGAGGACAGAGTACTAAAAAAATGCTGCTTAGCCCAAGCAAAACTTGTCTGCTGGCACTATACAGCCTGTGGGCTACGAGTTTTAAAGCCCTGGGCTAGAATGATCACAATAGGTATCATTTATTGAGCACCTGCTGTATTCCAGTATGCTTCATCACGTTCATCATTGTATCCCCAGAATCCAGCATCCTGCTTGATGTTTCGTGAACGTTCAAGAAGTGTTTGTTGAATGAGCGAGCTCACGTGAGCCTCAGGACAATCCACACGAGAGGGATTGTCGTGGTTTGTGTTCCTATAGAAGCAGCCCCCTGCAAGTTGTTTTAGGAGGTGACCCCCTGAGGAGCTGGTGTGGGGAGGAGAAGTGAGTCAGGGAAGGGAAGCAGGTGATGAAGGTGTGGGCACCTGAGGCTCGTTCTCACTGGAGACCCCTGGGGAGCAGCACAGGTCACCTCTGGGTGGTCCTGTCCAAGGGGGAGGGGACCTGGAGTATTTGTTTCCTAGTTCCCCTCTGTCCTTGCCTGAGGCTGTGTCTGGGGCTTTTACCATTCAGACTCCTCTGACCTGGCTGGGGCCATGCTCAGTGGTGGAGAGGAAAATCCTCACGCAGCATTGGCGTGTACTTGAGTGGTGTGCAGGGCACCCATAATGTCTGCTGCAGGTATGATCACCTTGTTCAGATGGAAAAAACTGAGGCTCAGAGAGGTTCAGTAACTTATCCCAAGTCACAAAGCACCAAGTGGCATAGCCAGTGTTTGCACCTAGGTCTGGCCCGACACCCGAGCTTTCAGTGGAATGAGAGATCATGAAGGTGGGGAAGAAATCTGAGGCATGGAGTCAGCCCTCAGGAAGCTTTTGATCTCTGTGTGGAGGTGGGACACGGTGATTGACGGCCAGAAAAGGATGTGGTGCAGAGTGAGGCGCTGGAGAAGAGGCCCAGGGAGACATCCCGGAGGAGGCCCTGGCCTGAGCCCACCCTTGAGGGATGGATATGAATTCGGATGGGCTGATTAGAGGAGGTGAGGGCATTCTTGGTAGGAGCACAGCATGGGCAAAGGTTCAGAGGTGGGGAAAAAAATGGCATGCCCTGGGGCCAGTGTGGTAACTGACTACGGGGCCCTTCCTGTCACCCCCCAGCCAACCTAGAAAGGGATGTTGTGGAAATTAAGCGATAGGAGAATTCACCTAAGGTTCAGGGCATGTAAGTGGTGGAAGCAGACTTTGAACCCACGTGTCTTCCGATGACCATATTCAGGCTTGCGTTGGAATCTCCGCTCTGCCGCTCACGGGCTCAGCTGTGTGCAGAGCAGGCACTTGGCCTCCCCGAGCCTCAGTTTCCCCCTCTCTGGAGTTAGGAGTTAACGGGGATTCCTATCCTTGAGGCGCTGCTACCAGGCGGAGAGGAGGTAAAGTGCCCAGCATGGGTCAGGCAGGCAGCGGGCTCCGCAGATGCGCCTCCAGGAAGGGTTTCGCCTACCCCGCCCCCCGCCCACCCCCCACCCCCCACCCCCCAGCTCCAGGCTGTTGTTATGGGGAAGCGAGAGAGGGAGGAGGCCATGGAAATGTGACACTGCATCTGTGTGCCAGCACCTGGCTGAGGGGCCCGCCGGCAGCAGGAGACTTGGGGCCTCGTGGGGGGGCCACCCCAGCCCGGCCTTGGATGTCCGCCCGGGGTGCCGAGGCCCCAGGAGCGCTCATTGTCAGGGGATCTGTTTTCTCACAAAGGGGACTGGGAAGCTTTGGAACAGCTCCCCGTTTCTCTTCTCTGCTGCCCAAAGATCTTTGGTTCTGGACCTTTAAAAAATAAGTAAGAGCAAAACAGAAGTAAAAAATGTTGGTTGTTGAAAATTCAAACCTTACAAGAGTGTATAACATGTATAGAAAAATGTCCCCCCGGACCCCTTTCCTTTCCCGTCCCCCAGATGCAGCCACTGTTACAGTTTTTGATCTTCTTGGAGACTTGCCTACACTCCAGAGTGGCTTACCCATCGCATATGTATTGATTTATAATTGTTGTATTTTTCTTATTGCAAAAGTAGTGAATGCTTGGGCACAATTTAAAATATTATTGAAACATATGGTTTAGGATGGAAAGCTCCCCCAAATGAGGACCCTCTGGTGCACTGGGACCCTCCCCTCCAGACCTGTTGGTGGTTCTTGGCCATGGGCAGCTTTGCTGCCAGGGCGCATTTGGCAAAGTTTGAGATGTTTTTTGTTGTTGTAACCAGGGAAGAGTTTGCTCCTGGCATCTACTGGGTGGAGACCAGGGGTACTCCACAACGTCCCACAGCGCAGCCCCCAACACAGAGAATCATGGAGCCCCAAATGCATGTAGAGCTGAGGCTGGGGCACCCTGGCCCAGACACAGATAGGTAAACGCATACTGTTCTGTGGAAACATGGCAGCATTCTTCAGAAAGTCTCACAACTTGCTTCGTTTTCTCTGTCGTGTATTTAAACTTTTTAAAAAATGTTTTGTAAAATTTTTAAAGATTACTTTCCATTTACAGTTATTACAAAATATTGGCTATATTCCCCGTGTTATACAATACATCCTTGAGCCTATTTACACCCAATAGTTTGTACCTCCCCGCCGCCTCATGCTTATGTTGCCCCTTCCCCCCATGCCCCACTGGTAACCATTAGTTTGTTCTCTATATCTGTGAGTCTCCTTCTTTTTTATTATATTCACTAGTTTGTTGTATTTTTTAGATTCCACATATAAGTGATACCATACAGTATGTGTCTTTCTCTCTCTGACTTATCTCACTTAGCATAATGCCCTCCAAATCCATCCATGCCGCTGCAAATGGCAAACTTTCGTTCTTTTTAATGGCCGAGTAATATTCCAGTGTGTGTGTGGTACACACACACACACACACACACATATACACACACACGCACACCACATCTTCTTTACCCATTCATCTGTTGATGGACATTTACATTCCACACCTTGGCAATTATAAATAATGCTGCTGTGATCATTGGGGTGCATGGATCTTTTTGAGTTAATTTTTTTTTTCAGATATACACCCAGATAACTTGCTTTAAAACTTTAACAGAAAAAAAAGTGCATATATAATCACCTTATTATTTTTTATGGTTGCAAAGTATTTCATTATGTGACTGAGCCCAAGCTTTTTTTATCCAGACTTTTGTGGATGGACATTTGGGTTGATTTGAGTTCTAGGGCTTCTTTGAGCATCTTGAGGTGCATCTCTGCTTCCTTGGGTGAGGATTTCTTGATCGACAGCCAATTCTGCTCATGTGCCCCACATGGGGTGTGATTGCAATTAAAGTTATTCCTCCCTCCCTCCCTCCCTCCTCTCCTCTCTTCCCTTCGTTCTCACTCTTTCTTTCTTTTTCACTTAACATTTATCAGAACTTTGTCCCAGGCCCAATTATAGTATTTCGTTTCATCAAATGATTTATTTTCGTTTCAAGAGAGAATATTTTCACATGGCTCCAAAAATACTTATAAAGTAAAAATTCCCCCAGACCTCTCATTCTCCATCCCTCCTGTTTCCTCCTCGTCCCGTAATCATATTCTTTTCTGCCCAAATTCTTTTAGAGTTTCTTTCCGAAAATACAAGCAAATGTGAATATGTAAGTCTTGTTTTTCCTTCCCTTTTCTATAAAAGAGAGCGTTCTCTAAGAGTGGTTGAAACTTTGGTTGCCTATGGGTAAGTCCTAAAAGACAGCAGCGCAGGGCCTTCCCCCCAGACCAATTTGGCTGAAGTCTTGGGGTGGGGCCTGCCTTTGTCAGTTTTAGAAGCTCGCCTGGGGATTCTTGGGTGGAGGGTCAATGCTGAACCCACAGATCTGCTACCTGCCTTTTTTTTTTTTTTTTTTGTATAAAGCCTCTTCGAGAACTTTTGCATTCAGCCGCAGACAGCGAGCGTCCTCATTGTTTTTACCTGCTGCATAGTAGACGTGGATGATATTTCCCACCTTTTACTATTTACAAACCAGGTATGTGCAGGTGTATCTGTGGGTTCAGAATGGCGATTGCCCTTCCACGGGGGAAAGGGGCTGTGATTTTGCAGGACTGCCAGCGTGCCATGCAGTGGAGCTGTACCAGTTCACATCCTCCCTAGTGATGACAGGGCCCCATCTTCCCTCAGCCTTGCCAGCCGGCTGGGTTATCAAACTTTTGGAGCTCATGCTCCCAGTGAGTGACCTCCATCTTGTCACTTGTGTGTGAGGCCATCTGTATTTCCTTCCTATAACCTGCTGGCTTAAGTTCCGCCACTTTCCTTTTGGAAAAAGAATTCTTCATTAGGAAGATGAACACTTTGTACTTTCATGATTTGATTTCTTCCTGGAAACAGCCCTGGACTGCAAATGGGGCAGACCTGGCATTGGGCAGACCTAGCTTTGTGACTTACCAGCTGTGTGGCTCTGGGCACCTTGCCAGACCTCTCTGAGCCTCAGTTTCCTCACCTGTAGAATGGGAATCCTGCTTGCCTCATGGACTTGCTGGAGATTTATCACAAAGTAACATATAGTCAAGTGCCTGGCCCAGGGCCTGATGTGGAGAAGGTTTGTGGAAGTCAGAGGGATGCACTTAGGGTCAACCTTCATCTCTTCACACGTCGAATAAGTGTACGAGTCTGGTGTCAGGCCCTGTTCTGGGCACCAGGGCTGCTGGGAGGGCTCAGTCCACTGTATCAGGTTGTGCCGTCCAATACGGCAGCCACTAGCCACGTGTGGGTCTTTCCATTTAAATTAGTTAAAATTAAGTAAGATCCAAAATTCAGTTTCTTCGTCGCACTGGACACATCCAAGTGCTCAAAAGCCACAAGTGGGGCTTCCCTGATGGCACAGTGGTTGAGAGTCCACCTGCCGATGCAGGGGACACGGGTTCGTGCCCCGGTCCGGGAAGATCCCACATGCCATGGAGCGGCTAGGCCCGTGAGCCATGGCCGCTGAGCCTGCGCGTCGGGAGCCTGTGCTCTGCAACGGGAGAGGCCACACAGTGAGGGGCCCGCGTACCGCAAAAAAAAAAAAAAGCCATAAGTGGCCCATGGCCATGGTATTGCTCAGCCCAGATGGAGAGCCTCGCCATAATCACAGAGTGTTCTAGCAGACAGGGCTGGTCCAGATGGGCAAGCAGAGTGAGTGAGTGGGATCATTCAGAGAGTGGTTTAAGTCCTGGGGAGATAGAGTAACCTCCCTGTCACCCCCTTTCTCTAAGGGGTGGTCTCATGGGAAGGGACTTGACAGATGCCATGTGAATGACGGGAGCACCCCAGACAGGCCAGGATCTGCGGGGAAGAGGCAGAAGCAGTGAGCGAAGATGCCCCAGCATGGAGATGAGCTGGTCCTGGGGATGCTGGCGGGACCCCAGTGGGCCCTGGGATGCTGGCCAGAGCTGAGCTGGGGAGGGGAGGAGGGCCCCAGAGCGTAAGGGGGCTAGCAAAGGGTTCTGAGCTGCTGCCACCATCTGTGTCTCAGAGAGACCCCTGGCTGCCCTCTGGGTGAGGGTGGAAGCAGGGAGGCCTGTGAGGAGGCTGCCATGGTCCCCAGACAGGTGACAGGGCTTGCACCAGGGTGGTGGCTGTGGAGGGGTTAGCAGCATTTTTTGAGGAGGTGGTAACAGCTTTACTGACATATAAATTCATGGCCCATGCAATTCACCCATTTAAAGTGTACAGTTAATTCAGTGGCTTTTAGTATATTCACAGAGTTCTGTAACCATAATCACATTCAATTTTAAAATACCTTCTTCATCCTCCAGAAAGCCCTGTACCCACTGACCAGTCACTTCCTGTTCTCCTAATACCCTCCAGGCCCAGGCAACCACTCATCTACTTTCTGTCTCTATAGATTTGCCTATTCTGGACATTTCATATAAATGAAATCACACGAAGTGGTCCTTTGTGACTGACCTCTTTCACTTAGCATAATGTTTTCAAGGTCCATCCGTATTGTAGCATATATTAGTAGTTCATTCCTTTTTATGGCCGAATAATTCTGCCGTATAGCTGCACCCCATTTTATTTATCCATTCTTTGGTGATGAGCATTTGGGTTGTTTCCACTCTTTAGCTATTATGGAGGAAGGTGGTATGAACATTCCTGCACAAGCTTTTGTATGCTTTCATTTCTTTGGCTATATACCTGGGAGTGGCATTGCTGGGTCACATGGTAATAACTCCAGGTTTCACCTTCGTGGGGCTGTCAGACTGTTTTCCAAAGCAGCTGCACCATTTTGCATTCCCACCAGCAGTGTATGAGAGTTCTAATTTTTCTGCATCCTAGCCAACATTTGCTATCCTCTGTCTTTCTGATTCTAGCCATCCTACTGAGTGTGAAGTGATATCTCATGGTGGTTTTTAATTGAGATATAATTGACATGGTGGTTTGTTAATTGAGATATAATTGACATGGCGGTTTTTAATTGAGATATAATTGACATGGTGGTTTTTAATTGAGATATAATTGACATGTAACGTTATATCAGTTTCTGATGTACAACATGATGATTCAGTATTCGTATATATTGCAAAATAATCGTTGTGGTTTTGATTTGCATTTCCTGTTGAGCATCTTTTAACGTGCTTATTGGCCATTTGTGTACTTTTTTGGAGTAATGTCTATTCAGATCCTTTGTCCAGTTTTAGATTCGTTTGTTATTTTATTATTGAGCTGTAATTATTCTTTGTACATTCTGGATACAAGTGCCTTATGAGACATAATGATTTGCAGGAATGTTCTCCCATTCTGTGGGTTGTCTTTTCACTTTTTTTAAATTAATCAATTAATTAATTAACTTCTGGCTGCGTTGGGTCTTGTTGCTGCGCACGGGCTTTCTCTAGTTGCGGCGAGCAGGGGCTACCCTTCTTTGCGATGTGCGGTCTTCTCATTTCAATGGCTTCTCTTGCTGTGGAGCACAGGCTCTTGGCGTGCGGACTTCAGTAGTTGTGGCATGCGGGCTCAGTAGTTGTGGTGCATGGGCTTAGTTGCTCCGCGGCATGTGGGATCTTCCTGGACCAGGGGTCGAACCTGTGTCCCCTGCATTGGCAGGCGGATCCCTGACCACTGCGCCACCAGGGAAGTCCCACTTTTCACTTTCTTAATGGTGCCCTTTGAAGCATCAGAGTCTTTCATTTTGATGTAGTCTAGTTTACTTGTCTTTTGTTACTTGAGCTTCTGGTGTCCTATCTAAGAAACCCTTGCCTAATCCATGAAGGTCATGAAGATATAAGCCTATATTTTCTTCTAAGAGTTTTCTCCTTTTGGCTGTGACATTTAGGTCTTTGATCTATTTTGAGTCGATGTTGGTATATGATTTGAGGTTTGCAGCATGTTTTGAAGGCAGTGTCAACTTTGTTGATGGGACAGAGAGGAAGAGGAGACAGAGGGTGACCCGAGGGTCTTGGCCTACCCAGCTGGTGACGGGGACAAGATTGGAGGGGAGGAATGGAGAGGCCTGTTTTGGGCACATGAGGTCTCAGACCAGTGTGAGCAGTGACTATAGATGGTAAGTGGGCAATGGGATCTGCAAGTCTGGAGTCCCAACACAGAGAGACAGAATCTGGACTCGCCCGTGTGTACACAGGATTTATTTAAGCCATGGGGTGTGATAAGAAACCCCAAGGGAGTGATGTAGAAGAGGAGGCTGCGTGGCTGGCCTGGGTCACACTTTCACATGTCCCTCTGAGATGCAGGGAGCCTCAGAAGGAATAGCCAGGGAGGTCAGAGGAGAACCAGAGAGCCTCATAAGGCATCAAAAAAGAGGCTATGAGGCAAGGGATCAGGAATCCAGCTATGCTCTTCACTCATGCTCTGTGTTCTTAAGCAAATGCCTTCCCTCTCTGGGCAGGGACAGTATGAGGTGTGTAAAATCCACATTCTAGAGTCCTGTGTTTACTGGCATGTGACTCTATCCCCTTATATATAAAAATAACAGGATTCATACCAGCACACCTACTCCGTTGTATTCATGTACCATTTCTCTGTATATGTGCACATGTGTTTGGATGCATGGAAGGATGTCTAAAATGAGGTCGCCAAAGTTGCCAGTGGCAGTGATGAGGCAGGCTAACATTTACGGAGGGCTCCCCACATACCAGGCATGGGGGAGACTAAGGTGAAGCCAACCAGGCACCCAGGTCTCACGCACGTCTGCCCCCTGGTGGCAGCACTGAGTCACACGCTTTCCATGGGCTGGTCCATCCCTGAACTGAGGACGATTATTAGGGGGTCTTTCCCCACATGATCAAGGCTCAGAGAGGTTAAGGCACACAGCTGAGGTCACACAGTTACTAAGTGGCTGAGGCTGGGCTGAACCCAGACCTGCTGATCCTACATATTACCCCCATTCATTGAGGTGGACCGCCTGCCATGGGATGGTGCGGGGTGGGGGGATGGAGCATCTGGTGCTTTAATTTTCTTCTTTGCCCTTTTAGGCCAGAATGGACTCTCTCGGTGTCCATTCTTCCTGCAAATAGGGAAGCCCCAGTAAAGTCCTCTTCTTGTGTCCTGTGCCTCAGGTGCCGCCAGGGAGGGAGTTTGCCCTCCAGGACAACGAGCCGCTGCTCTGGCAGGTGATCCCTGTGGCCGCGGGCCCCCGGAGAAGCCACAGCTTCTGCAAGGACAAGAGGAGCGGGCCCTTCGTGGTGAGTGGTGCTGGCGTGGCCAGAGTGGACACAGTTGGGAATGTCCCAGGCTGGCCCCAGGGCCTGCGGGGGACGGGGACAGGCAGGTGACTGTCCGGGAGCCTGGTGTTGTCTGGCTCTGCCATGGTTCATGACGTGGAGGGTGTTTGGTGGCTCTGCTGGGGAAGCCTTCTCCCCTCGTGGGTTTTTGGCCCCTTGTGGAGGGGTAGCCCCTGCTGCTTGGCATGGAGCGGTGAGGAGAACACGTGCTGGGGTCCGAGTGCCCTGGGTTCAAATCCCAGCACTGTCTCCTCTCAGACTCTTTGAGCAATTTTTATTAATTTCCATGCACCTCAGTTTGTTCACCAGGAGAACGGGGCTGTGATTCCTGCTTTTTTTGCGCCGCTGGGAGGATGGAGTAGGATTGCGTGGGGCCCAGCACATGGTAATTCAGACAGTGATCGATAGTGTGGTGACGACAGGAGGAAGGTGGGGTTAAGCTGCTTCTGGAGCCGGATCGCCTGGGTTCACATCCTAGCTGTGCATGCAGATGGGCACCCGGCCTCAGTTTCCTCATCTGTAAAATGGGGGTAGTAGTAGCATCTACTTCACAGGGCTGATGTGGGGTTCAGATAAGATAATTCGAGAAGTGTTTAGCTTGGTCCCAGGTACACGGTAAACACTTTAATAAGCGTTACGTTACCATTATTATTATCATTGTTGTTATTATTCTTGTTTTCGAGTGTCCTTTTGGCTGTCACTGAGCTCTGTCTCCTCAGCCAGCACTTCCTCCCTCTTAGCCTGTTTCCTCACTTGTGGAAGCAAGTAGGTAAATGAGGCGGCAGGACCCCAGGGGAGCCCCCTTCCCTGGAGCCTCAGTGTCCCCAGCTGGGTTCCAGGGCTTTACCACATCTGAATTTCCGTGATTTTCTTTTCTGTTTTTTTTTCTTTTCACTTTTGCTCCATGATCCTGGGAGATCTGCTGAGCTCTGCATTTCCTCCCGGGCCCTGGGCCCCACGTGGGGACATCTGAGATAAGCCTTTTTTAATGAGGCAACACCAGCTCTGTGCCTGAGATCATTCTGAGTGCAAGGCTGCATGCATTTCAGTGGTTATCTGTGCCTGGTCTCACGTCTCTGAGATGTGGGCTCCTGCAGCATTGAAGCCTGAGGTCCATTCCGTCTAGCTTTATGGTCACGGGCAAGAGACTTCAGTTTCCTAAACCTTGGTCTCCTCCTCTGTAAAATGGGTGAAGACACTGCCCCTGGCAGGCTTCTTGCCGAGACCTGATGGGAGAGTGAAAAGGCCTGACTGTGGGGCTGGGGGTGACAGCTCCCATGCAGGGACTCAGACGTCGGCTGAGAAGCCCTGGAAAATTCCTCAAGTGTCCAGATCTCAGCCACCGATTTCTTTCTCACCCTTGTCTCCATTCCCTCTCAGGCACTGACTCAGCTTATCTGATTTTGTGTGTGTGTGTGTGTGTGTGTGTGTGTGTGTGTGTGTGTGTGTGAGAGAGAGAGAGAGAGAGAGAGAGAGAAGACAAAGGCCATGGAGCGAAGAGCATTCAAACCCTGTCTTTTTACAGTCTCTGCTTGCTGGCCCCTCCCCTTTCTCCCTCTGTCACTGAGGAGCCTTTGTCCATGGAGTCGTCAGGTGGCTCCCTCCTTCTGGCCCCCAAGGCCCCTGCCCCATTACTGCCTGCTTGATCACCTCTCCTCCAGAGGTGGACGGGTTGGGGTACTGAGCCTGAGCAAGACAGAGCTGGGGCCCCAGACCTCGGTTGCCTGCTTTCAGGACTGACACCTGCAATTCCAGGTAGTGGCCACCAGGGGGTGATGGTGTTCAGCTCACTTTCTGATGGCTCCAAAAGCCTGTCTGGGGGGACCTCAGCATTGGGGCTCTGGAGGCTGAAAGAAGTAGGTTCAAGTTCTGACTCTGGCACTCTGTGACCTCAGGCAAGTGGTCTGATGGACCCCACTGAGCCTCAGTTTTTGCTTCTGTAAAATGAGGCTGGTCCTAAGTGGCCTCCAGAGTATTTCTGTGAGCAGTAAATGAGGTCACTCAGCCCTCAGGAGAGTAAATTCCCAGTTAATGCCTTGGCTGCGGGGATCACTGTTCCCGCTTTCCTTTTCCTCTCCTTCTCTTCCACCTCCCTTGCCCCCTCCTCCTCCTCCTCCTAACTCCCCCTCCTCCTGTCGTCTCCCTTTTTTCTCTCCTAGTCCAACTCTCTCATTATGAACGGGGAAACTGAGGCCCCGAGAGAGGGCCTGACGTAGGCAGGGCAACCCTTCAGATGAGGCCTGGGGTCCTGAGCCCTTGGCCCTGCCAGCTGCCCCTACCCCTCTGGAGGTAGGAGGTGGTCAGTCCTGCATTTTATACTCCGTGGTACGTTCGAGGATTCACTCACTAGTGGATAAACGCCATCCGCCATTACTCCCGTCACTGTTTTGATTGATGACTTTGTACTGTTGACTTCCAATTGAGATTCAGGTTCATCTCCCTTTTTTGAGTCTGTGCTCCAGGCCTTGTCAGTCCCCACTCCCCACTCATGTTAGGGAATATGAATCCCATTTTGCAGAGGAGGAAACCGAGTCTCAGAGACGTTAAGCCACTTGCCCGAGGCCACACAGTTAGCAAACGGGGGAGCTGGAATGCATACTGGGCCTGTTTCGCCTCCAGCCTTAGCCCTGGGCCCCTTCTGCCTCAGGCCTGTGCTTTTGGCCTGGGACCACTCTGCCAGCCCCTCTCTCCCCTTGGGCCTGCAGTGCTTGGGGCATCGCTCACAAGGAAACAAGACAGCCAACCAATCCCCGGGGCTGAGAATGTGATATTTGTCCAGCACAGGGTTGGCCACCCTCCGAAGGGTGCCTGGGACCCACTGGGGCTGATGCCCTGCTGATCTGCAGAGCCCTGCCCACCCCCAGCTGGTCAGACCCTGAGCATGAGGTCAGACCGGTTCCACCCGGCCGCTTCATAGAGGCGGCAAACGAGTGAGTTTAGCACTCAGCGCCTCTCTTTTTTTCCTCTGTAAAGTGGTGGATTGCAGGAATAACAGTGCCCACCACAGTGCCCACCACAGTGCTTACTGGGTGGCGTAGATACTAGTTTATCCCCATTTTACAGGTGGGAAAACTGAGGCTCAGAGCCAGTAAGTGCCTCTCCCAAGGTCTGAGTCTACCTCATTGTGTGGTAGGAGGATGGGGCTAAAAAGAGATGATGCTTATAAAGCACTGATGGAGAGTAACTGCCTGATAAATGTTACTGTGTTTTTGTTTGGGGTTTTTTAAAAATAAATTTATTTATTTTTGGCTGCGTTGGGTCTTTGTTGCTACACGTAGGCTTTCTCTAGTTGCGGGGAGTGGGGGCTGCTCTTTGTTGCGGTACGCGGGCTTCTCATTGCGGTGGCTTATCTTGTTGTGGAGCATGGGCTCTAGGCGCGTGGGCTTCAGTAGTTGTGACACACGGGCTCAGTAGTTGTGGCTCGCGGGCTCTAGAGCGCAGGGTCAGTAGTTGTGGCGCACAGGCTTAGTTGCTCCGCGGCATGTGGGATCTTCCCGGACCAGGGCTCGATCCCGTATCCCCTACATTGTCAGGCGGATTCTTAACCGCTGTGCCACCACGGAAGTCCCACTGTGTTGTTAATTATGATTTGCTGTCAGCTGTTTTTTTCCTCTATATTCTCTCAAAGAGCTGCTGATGGAACGGGAAGTTGTCCCCTCTCTTTGGAGTTTTTTTTGCCGTTGAGGAAATGGAGGGCAGGGGAGGGGAGGTGTTCTGTCCGGGGGGTCCCACGGCAGCCAGGCTGGGCTGGGACTGGAGTTCTGAGTCCCTGGCCGGTGCTCTCTGCTCTCTCTGCTCCCCCGCTTCTTTCAGGGCCGTCCTTAGGACCTCCGGTCTGTGTGGCAGGTCCTAGTCCTGCGCCCAGCCTCCTCCCTCCACCATCCACGGGTGGTGGTGGATGGGCACACCCTCTTTTCCTCGTAAAGTGAGCCTTTGGCTTGCACTCGTGCTGGGATCGTAAAACACAGTGACTCAGTCGTGGACCACGACCTTGGGTCATGGTTCACCCCAGAGGCCCCTCCCGTGACCGTGAAGGCACAGATTCACTGGCTCTGGGGCTTCCCAGCGATGTGGCAGATGGGCCTCTGGTAACCTCAAGAATGTTCTCCCAAATCCCCAAACCCGTCAGTCAGCATTTGGTGGCTCATCTAGTGATGAGTTCACCCCCTCGTGGGCCTACTTTGTGCCAGGCCCTGAGTGAGGGGGCCCTGGAGAGTCTCTCACTCAGTTTCCTCGGGTCCACAGTCCAGGCGGGCCTGGGGGTGGCCCGGGAGGGCGTAGTTAGGTGAAGGCGGGCACTCAGGACATAGGGACAATGCATGCAAAGGCATGGTGAGGTGAAGCGAGAGGCGTGTCGGGGGGTCAGTGACCAGCCCAGTTGGGCTGAGATGGAACATTTCGGGGGTTCAGTCTTTCTTTTCTTTTTGTTTTTTTTGTGGTACGCTGGCCTCTCACTGTTGTGGCCTCTCCCGTTGCGGAGCACAGGCTCCAGACGCGCAGGCTCAGAGGCCATGGCTCACGGGCCCAGCCGCTCCACGGCATGTGGGATCCTCCCAGACTGGGACACGAACCCATGTCTCCTGCATCGGCAGGCGGACTCTCAACCACTGCGCCACCAGGGAAGCCCCCCAGTCTTTCTTTTGACAAATGTTTATCTGCATGTTACGAATAAGACACAGGTGGATAAGAAGGTAACTAAATAACTGCCTTGGGTTCTAATGGCTCTGGTTCACTGAGCCCTTACTGTGTGTGCCAGGCGCCCTGTTGCGTGCTTCACCTGCATTCCCTCGTTCAATTTGCTCATGGTTCCAAGTCCCCCCCTCCCAAAATTAGGGAGTATATCTCTCCATCTGGGGAGGTCTCACAGAGGAGGGACAATTGTTTTAGGTCTTCAAAGATGAACAAGCGTTTGCCAGATGGGTGTGGTCTGGGAAGGAGTGGTTTGCCCCTGGTGGAGGGAG